CTGACGGTCAGATTCTCTGCTCCGCAAGAGACACATACCATACATAGTAAATATTCTTATATCAGTATGAAAAACATTGGAATACTGGAAAAAATCTAAACATGTAACCTATTTAGATTTGACATCAACTAAAAAATTTGGACAAAACTACGACTTTAAGGTAAAGCTGGATTTTCTCAATGGAACATTTAAACGTGACAACATTGGATATCGTCGTAGAGCATGCTGCAGCGATACTTTGAATATGTCCTACAAACTTTAGAATAAAACAAAAGTCGATCAGTTTTCATAGGTAGTAAATGGTGACAGGGGACTGTCTGTTACTACCACTGAAAGTCGACTGTATCTCTTTTTTTATCAGCAGATATGATAAAGTAATAATTTTCCCACAAAATAAAAAAGATCCACGCTGAATTCTTCATATTTTGACCAAACTAGAGATAATTTACGGGAAATCTCAAACTGTTATACGGCTTGTCCAGGCGTGACGCTGTGACGTTTTTGACACACTAAACCGCTCGTATGTGAAAAACTATTAAAGCTGGTGAGTTCGTTTAAACACCATTCGACGCAGCTCAACGCCCTCTATCTCCAGTAAGGTTTTTGAAAATTTTCAGAGAAAATCACCGATGAAAATTTTTATTAGCAAACGGTTATGTCGAGGAGAGAACTGTCTACACGTTAGTAAAAAAAATTTCATTCCAGGATCCTCGTGGATCGCAGACACGTTATTTTATTGCCGTGACGCTGTGGCAATCTTCTTTAGGAGAGCAACCCCTGGTACTCAGCACGGCCAAAAGAACTTTGTTTTTATCTTTACTAGAGCTCCTGCTAGGTACTCACGATTTACGAGAGAACTGACACTCTAAACTTCAAACCCCGACTGGAAATAGCCCGAAGCCTGGAAATTCTGGTGCTCGGCGAAAAAATTCACTGTCAAAACAAAATGATCCATTTTGTGGAGAATTTAATTATCTATCGACCGGTGTACTTTCTATATTTTCTAGACTAAATTTCTAGGTCAGAAAATTGAAATTAAACTTTTTTAAAAACTTAAACTCAATTTTTTCAAACCAAAATTTTGTTTTAAAAGAACACGAGAGTCGTAATTAGCATGAAAAACTGCGTCTGGCGCTGTGCCTGAACCATTTCCACAACGGAAATTTTTTTTTAAAACTTAATCAGCGAAGTATCGCGTTACTTGGACAAGCCGTATTTTATGATAATGCTTGTTCTCTACTTTCATTCATTGACAGTTCTGGTTGTTTTGGAATAGTTAACTTTGTCTGTGTTGCCGCATCTAGATAATTTTGTTGAACAAATAATCAAAAGAGACAGTAGAAAATGCTATCCCAGAAAAAACGTCCTATCAGAAAAGTCTAGATACTATTGCCCGTACATCAGGCGATTTCTTTTTTAATCAGGCAAGGCAAATGAATAAAAAGATCAACCTAACCAGATATATCTGCTAATTTTATCAGTAGAAATAAACGATGCCAGGTTTCTTTTTGGGCTTTAGTAATGCAGTTTCTTTCTTGTTCAGAAGACGCTTCAGAACGGGTCTATAGACTAGTCAAGCTACTTTCCGAGTACGAGTCATTTCGTAGCGGCTTCGAGTCGAGTCGAGTCAAGATATTTTTGCCATTTTTTTTCTATATATATGTAATAGTGCTGACGAAGAACAAGACAGCAATAGAGAACGTATAAAATTGCACAGAACATGATTAATACGTTAATCAAATTTATTTTATTGTGATATTTCGACAAGTTCTCTTGCCATCATCAGACAATAAAGATTGTTACAAAATGTCAAAAGAAAGAAAGAAGTATAAAAACAGTTTTGTACTTTCTCTACAATTTAATTCGATTTTCAACTGCGCTCTCTCCAAGTTTTAAGACAGCAATAATCAGTCGTTGTCTCTTTAGCACTTTGTCTCCGTCTTGTGCTTCGTCAGCACTATTACATATATATATATACTCTAATTAATTATATGTTCTTCACATTTAGTCTACTTTTGTCTGACCAGGGCGCCTTTGACATTGAAACGTAACAATAAAAATAAAACAATAAAAAGTATTCAGAAATACCCAAATTTATACAAGAGGAAATGTATGCAAAGCAGTTAGTGAATAGAATTTTTAACATTTTTCGGTATACTGCTTCAGAATATCCATTATCTTTTTTTTCGTTCTGTTAAAATCTTATTCTATACAGTTATTTCGGATAAAATGAAGGGATTGTGTATTAAAAACATGCGAAAAGAAATGTAATAACTGAATAAATCAGTTGCAACCGTTGTCGACAATGTGTACGCAATTCAAACAACTTTCAAGGTGAAGTAGAATTCTCTTAAACACTATAGGTATTTTTCGCATTATTTTCATTATTTTCCTTTTCTTTTCTTTTGTGACAATCTTTGTGATACTGCTCAGTAGTACAGTATAAAAAATGACGCTGAAAACAATGTGAAAATATGAATCAAACAAGCAGTAATTCTGACGTAGAAAAATTCACTAACGATATAGATCAGGTAGTTTTGCATTACTTACTTACATCTCGCTGAAAATTGGAAAGATTTTTGTTCTTTTTTTGTAGTGGGTTACCGGCAGTAATAATAGTAAAACACCTAACGAAAAGTTAGTATCAGACAAAAATACATTTATATGATCATCTAGAATATAGCCGAATTTTAAATTTAGAATCAAAGACTATGGTCAAATACAATTTGTTGAAAATGAGCGTTTGTCCATGGTAAGATTTATTCACTATCAAGTTGAAACGAAGCTTTAAACATAATAATCATGAAACACGATAACACACTATTTTCTATTTTATCCATTTTAGTTTATTCGTTTTCCATTTACACCAGTGATCAACGATACAGTTTCGCAGGAAAATAAAGCATTAACAGCTAAAACAGCAGAAGAAATTGTTAAGTTTATGAGAGAAGGGTGGAAACTACGATCACCCCAGTTGATTATATCTGTTACGGGTGGAGCTCAACTATTTGAATGGACATCGCCAAGCATGGAAAATGCGTTTCAGAAAGGTTTAACATCGGCTGCAGTAACAACAGGTGATAATAATATTCATTAGCCAGGAGCGGATGAGTTATTTTATCCATGTTTATAGATGCATGGATTTTTACCGGTGGTACTAATAGCGGTATTATGAAAGCAGTGGGTGATGCTGTCGATAAATGTCGATATAAAAACACAAAAACACGATCAAAAATTCCATGTATTGGCATCAGTAGTTGGGGTTATACAGCAGGTATCTACATGGAAAGAGATAGAAAATAGTTCGTGGTACAAAATGTTAAATCTGACTTCATTCAACCATAGAGGCGCACCGAGTTCCAGGTTTTTAATCAAACGGTGCGTGTTGAAGATTTTCACAGCTACTCTTCCAAATATCTACTGATAGATCGTCTCTTATCTAATCGAATGTATCATCATTATACTCCAGAGTTAGATCATGCATTTAATCTACAAACAAGAATGAAAGAATTTGACGTAATTTAGCTATTTTAAGAAAGGGCACGTGTAAAGAGTGCCCTTTCAACCCACCTTTACTAGCACTTGAGGTATTTCGAATTTTGAATTTGACTTGACCATTTAAAAGATCATGATAAATAATGGTTTAGTTCCGCTGTTCGTTTCTTTAAAGCACCGCCTGAGCTGTGATAATAAAGTGGCGCTCAGAAGTTTAGCACACTTTTTATTTTCTATTTTTTTCCGAAACGAAACACTTTCAAAAAGTTTCAAGTGTGCTATAGATAGCCTATATTCTAGGCTATCATAACCATATAAAGTGTGCGGTTACAAAGAAGCACTGAGATTTCAGGAAACAAAATATTTTTTTCCCATGAATCAAAACTTTAGCACACTTTTCTTTATTTTCAACTT